GCGAGGGCGGGAATAAATTTAAAAACATGAATATTCGTTTCTTCTTCATTGCTTCGTTGCGAGGGTTTTTTGTGTGGAGGAAGTGCGATGGCGGGCAAAAGCTCGACGAGGGCAGCCGACAACGAGAAGAAGGGGAAGATGAGAATGCCGAGGAAGGAACGTCGCGGGATCAGTGAATCCCAACGGCAGCGCCAGGACAAGGAAAGGGCCAAGGCTCAAGCTGCGCAAGGTGAAATTTCGTGCAATCTCTCCCGAAATATCTCTCCCTCACTCTCAATCTCTCCCTCACACTCGAAATCTTGGCAAAGATTCTCTCTTTCTCTCTCGATCTCTGGCTCGCGAGCTGAAATCTTGCTGTTTCAGAGAAGAAGACGTCCAAGAATCGTGATGCAGCGAGGGGAGCAGGAGCAGGATGAGGCCGAGCTCGTGGTGCTGTGAGATCGTCGAAAGAAAGGGCGCGAGGCCATGTATCGAGCGGCAATCTGTTGTCATTTTGTGAATTTGATCCAAGGCGGCTGACTTTCATCCTCCATTCTCCCACTGCCTGGTCCGGGCGCTTAGCCGCGAGAGTTCTCTCTCGATCGAGCGATTTCCAAGCCAACGCCGTCGCGGATGGAGCTTGCGCTCGGATTTCTGCCGCACCAGTGGCTGGATTTCGATTCTGGGAGGGAAGAATGTAGCATCGACAGAAATTTTTAAAAATATTTAGGGTACAATTGTCCATGGCGGCCGCGTCTTGGATCGCACAGCGCGCTCCCGCTCAGAATGGCGCCAGGGCGAGCTCGGAATCCCCAGTTCTTGGTGGCGCCACGGCGAGCTCCATCGGATGGCCGCTTTGCTACTGCGGGAGCAAGTCGGATGGCATCTCGTTTTCACTGTAAGTCATTCTCGTTTGTGCTTGAGCTTGGAGTCGCGAGTGTGTGAGCGCTTGTGCTAGGGTATGCTGCTGATGGTGTTCCCGGTGTGCCTGGTTTTACAGCTCTGAAACTTATGAGGAAGCACGGCTCGCTAGAAAATCTAGTAAGTGCAGCGGCAATTCGGACGGTTGTGAAGCCATACATGCAAGATGCTCTCAAGGAGCATTCCGTGTTGCTTGAGAAAAACTTGGAAGTTTTGTCCTTACGCAGGTATCTGGCTATTTCTTTCAGGTGATTTTCTTATTCCCTTTTTCTTTCAGAGATATTGACGTAGAGCTACCTCTCGAGTGGTGCTTGTCCAGGATGAGTCAAACGATCTTGCTGCATTGCAGTGGCTGGAGAAAGAACTTGAAATGCTGCAGCGTGTCTAAACAGAGGTATCGGGCTATTCGTTTCTAACATCCAGATCATTTTTTAATATTTCTTGCAGAGATATTGACGTAGAGCTGGTGCTTGTCGAGGGATAAGTCAAGCGATCTTGCTGCATTGAAGGAACTTGAAACGTTGCAGGTTGTTTAGCAGCGGTGAACTGATCAGGCTCAAGGTATGAAAATTTTGAGCTCGCTTTATCGTTTCTTACTACGGCCTTCGTAGAATCCATAGTCTGTCCTTGATGGAGCGAAGGTTGGTCCACTTCTGCAGAAACCTCAGGGTCTTTCAAATGAAGTGTACAGACGAATGCAACGTCAGGGATTGAAACCAGCCATTGGCATTGTTGTTGGTGCTCTCAAGGTATGTAGAAGCATGAGAGATCTACAACTAGGCAGGAGAATGAACAGGGATGTTTCCGAGACAGGTGACTTCTCAAACATTATCGTCGCCAACATCCTGCTTGATCTGTACGCGAAATGCGGAAGCATGATAGATGCTCGTGGAACATTTGACAGCATGCCGCATCGCGATGTTGTCTCCTGGAATTCGATCGTACAGGGATATGATATGCACAGAGTGGAAATGGTGAAATGGCTCTACAGTTGTTTGCTCCTCTGGGAGACGAAGGGTACAAACCGGATCGAGTATCAGTTCTTGGTGCTCTCAAGGCTTGTTCCAGCTTGATAGAGAAGGATTCCGGGCAGGCTTTGGATGGTCAACGGGTGGTATTCTTAGAGAGGAGCAGGGAGATTCACAGGAAAGCAGTAAAACTTGGCTTAGACTCGGATCTCTTCGTCGCGAGCACCTTGATTGATCTTTACGCAAAATGTGGGAGCTTGACAGAGGCTCGTCGAGTTTTCGAAGGAATGAGCCATCGTAGTGTGGTGACATGGAACTGCATGATTCTCGGGTATGCCAGCAGCGGCGAGGGTGGTGAAGCTCTCGATATCTATGCTCGAATGCGTCGTGGAGACACTCCACCGGATACTTCCTTCTTCCATCTTGCTCTTGGCAATCTTCTCTTCCTTCACCGTCTCCTTCCTTTCCTTCTTCGCCTGGTTGAAGCATAGCGCAGGTTTTCGATGGCGAATTTGGGAATGACTATAGGAGAAAAATTCTTCCTTCTTACAAGGCTGGAAGGAGGAAATTCAAGCCTCTAGATCCGAGCTTCAAATGGACAAGGGGTTTAGAGGCGAGTTTCTCTCGTTTCCAATGCTTTCTTCGACGTATGTCCTCGATCTTTCATTTTTCCATGAGCTAAAATTCCAAGTTCTTTGCTGACAGGTTAGTTGATAATGCTGAAGCGGACGACGTCGTTACGACACTAGCTCGGCAAGTTACAGACAGGAGTTTGAAAACAGACAGGAGTTTGAAAGCAGTCTTGCATCCCCGGATAAAGATTTCAAGCAGCTCGTTTCGGAAAACGTTGAGCTGCTGATTCCATTTGCGGATCTACGGAGGTGGTCGTTTCACACTGTCAAGGATTACGTTGAACAACACAAACGCGAGCCTGGGATTGAATTGGGACTTCGTATATATCCAGTTTCGTAAGTTTGGCTGATTATTTCTTCTTGTTTTTTTCTTTCCAAGGATGCTTGCTAGGGGATGCTGCTGATGGTGGTCCCGGTGTGCCTGGTTTTGGACGGAAGACAGCTCTGAAACTTATGAGGAAGCACGGCTCGCTAGAAAATATATTAAGTGCAGCGGCAATTCGAGCGGTTGGGAAGCCATACATACAAGATGCTCTCAAAGAGCATTCCGTGTTGCTTGAGAAAAACATGGAAGTTTTGTCCTTACGCAGGTAACTGGCTATTCTTTTCTAGCATCCAGGTGATTTTCTTATTTCCTTTTTCTTGCAGAGATATTAACGTAGAGCTACCAGTTGAGTGGTGCAGGGATAAGTCAAACGATCTTGCTGCATTGCAGTGGCTGGAGAAAGAACTTGAAATGCTGCATCGTGTCTAAAGAGAGGTATCTGGCTATTCGTTTCTAGCATCCAGGTGATTTTTATATATTTTCTTGCAGAGATATTGACGTAGAGCTGGTGCTTGTCGAGGGATAAGTCAAGCGATCTTGCTGCATTCCAATGGCTGGAGAAGGAACTTGAAACGTTGCAGGTTTTTTAGCAGCGGCAAACTGGTCAGGCTCGAGGTATGAAAAATATGAGCTCGCTTTATCATTTCTTACTAATAATCTGTCCTTGATGGAAACAAAGGTTGGTCCCATTTGTATCTTATGCCACAGAAGAAAACGCAGAAAAAACCAAGAGCTTGATAGAGAGGATTCCGGGCAGGCTTTAGATGGTCGATGGCTGGATACAGAGGCATCGGTGGGAAGTTCTCTCGCTCAAAACGAGGCGCTCAAAGAGCGTGGCCTTGCAAGGCGGACGCGTTGGTGTATTCTTAAGTTCGTGCCTCAAGTGGAGAGATGTGGAGCTTGGCTGGATGGCCTTCAAGTCGGTTCTCAAGCTCGACGACGGAACAGGCTCTGCGTACTCTCTCACGTCCAACATCTATGCCCGAGGTCAGTCGGATTTACAACATCGTGGGAAACAGTTGTGGGAATGATTTAATGCTTTTTTTAACAGGAAGGCATGGGGACTCAAGAGAAACGAGCAGAACACAAGCAAGAACAGCGAAGAACAAGGATAAAGCAAGGAGAGGGGAAGCGGTTTAAAGGTATGTAATCGTTGCGTAATCCTACAGCAAAGCATGGAAGTTTCTGGTCCCATTGGCCCCCAATGTTCATCATTTTCTCGCTCAGCATGCCTTCCAACCAGCAGTGGCCTTGTTAAACAAGCAGCTCCGCAAGCTTACCATGGATTTGTCACTCATGTTGGTAGAGCCACAAAAGCTCGTGTTTCCTCTCGTTTTTCTTCTGTTTTGCTTGGCTTGCATACTTTTCGTGTGTCGAATGAGCTTCCCTTATTCTGGCTGTCCAAAAGGTTTAAAATGCCATGTTGTCTGGATAATTTGCGTGACTTGTCTTGTAGAAACTTTGTTTAATCCATGAATTTGCATCTTACACGACAGGAAGGAGAGCGCTTGAACGTGGATGATGGTGTGCTTTGGATCAACGTAGCCAGTGGAAGTTAGGAAAATGGAAGAACGAGGTAAAAACATTGACAGCAAAAGAAATGATCCTGTGATCTCCAGGTTTGCGGACACTGGAAACACTCGGTCTCGGTGATGAGGTTACTTTTTGGCGCAACAAGGACATCGATGTTCACTTGGTTGCTAACAAGAGGATGTTCTCGAGCTCAAAGGGTTGAACACGTAACAAATAAAAGGGAAAGAGTTGACGGCTTATAAATTCCCACACTCTAGGATTTTGGGAATTTAGGGTTTGATGGCAGAAACTTTTGGAAGGCTATATGGGGATCATGGGTTGGAGAGGAAAATCAATGTTTTTTGGGATTCTGGTTGTGACAGCGATATTATCTCACAGAAATTAGTAGATGAATTCAATATTACTGTGGACAGTAATTCACAAGTTAAAGATTTCAAGTTTATGGTGGAGGATTGTGAATTTAGAACAAGTTTGACTGTAAAACCATTGATTCTTGATCATGATATAATTTTGGGTTCACCTTGGATACATCAACATTGCTTAGAGTTAGACTGCAGTGGCACTATAAACAGTTTAACTTTTGAGGTCAATAATTCTATATATTGCCTCAAGGAGATTGATGGTGCCCTTGATGATCACTACCAATTATATAAGTGCAGAAAATACAAGAAAATAAATCAACATATATGTACTACTTTTCATTATGCAGAATACAGTGGGAGAATCAATGATCATCACATCACAATTGCATTTGATAATGGTTCTGATTGGTCAGCTATAACACTTCAACTTCTCAAGAAACTTGGGCTCAAAGCAATTCGTGATTACAAGTATTTTACAAAAAGATTAACTGCAGATGTGCAAATGAAAGATGGTTATGGAATTGAGAATTTAACGTATAAAATGGGAAGCTTTTCAGAAAGTACAGATTTTATTGGTATAAAAGAGAATATAGATACCATATTTTTGGGGATGAATTGGCTTAAGAAGCACTCAGCAATAATTGACTTCAGGAATCATATTGTTACTTTTAAATCTAGTGAATTGGGTTGCTGGTATAGACTTCAATATCCAAATGGTGTATTTGAAGTCAGTAAAGATAGATTTGTTACAGAGACAGATAGTTTATGTTGGTGCCACCAAAAAAAAAGGGCCTCAGTTTTGGTTATGGCAAAGGCAAGCAAGCTCTGGAGCAATTCTTTAGGATGGATAAGAATGGTTCTCCAAATCACATCACAATTCTTACTGCACAGGATCAGATTGTTGACCAATACATTGTTAAGCTTGGAGTTTTTGAGTTCTAAAGGCAAAGCCGTGCATGCTTGAGCTCTGGCTTTTGTGGACCAAGGGGACCTCTCTCGTGGTCATATACGTCTCTGGACATGAGTCATAACATAAATTGTTTTATATTTTGATTCTGTTTGAATAAATATTATCATAAGTAAAAATAATTTGCTACACATTGCTACATTCAATGCTTAGTTTGTTTAATAGTAGTGTTATTTCTATAAATTAATCCAATTGATCAATTAAAGTTCATAATTATAAACATGTTGATAATTTATAAACACAAGATTAATCATAGTAGAATAAACTAGAATATACTAGAAAGTGTTTAGAAAAATTTATAATCTAAAAACATATTTATAAATTAGAGATACAAGATTAGTCTAAATGAATAACAACTGTTAGATGGTAGAATATCCTAGAATATCCAAGCATATTCTAGGTATAATCACTATCCCCTTATAGGTTTGGTTAAGCAAACAAATAATTTGGTGCACGTTGCATGCAATAATACTTAATTTTCTTAATAGTAATTTATTAATCCATTTGGTCAAAGAAACGTTTATAATTATAAAGATATTGATAATTTATAGACACAAGATTAATCTTATTTAATATCAACCATTTGAATGTAGAATAAACTAGAATATATTAAGAAGTGTTTAAGAAAGTTTACAGATTAATTCAAATGAATAACAACTGTTAGAAAATATCTTAAAATATCCAAGCATATTTTAGATATATCCACTACCTTTCTACAGGTTTGTTTATGAAAACAAAAAATTTAGATAAATTGAAAAGTACAAATAAATTATTCACTAAAAAATATAACATATATATTTATACATATGTATAAAGTTTAACAGAAAGAGAATGATTATTTATATTTTCCAAATAATATTATAGTTATAAATAATACTCACTATTAAACAAGATTATTCATTTTGTAATTTGAAACAATTATGGTTTCATTTATATTACCCAAATTAAACGCCAGGTGCCTATATATCTTATTTATATTAACATTATTGTTATTTTTATTAGTGTTTTATTTAGCATTGGATTGAAATATTATTGGATATTCATGGTATATTTAATTGAAATTATTTATTAAAATTGTCTAACACTAAGCACCAACATAGATTAGAGTAAATTGACTTTGAAACAACTATAATATTTCATTGAGTATTTCTTATGACAAAAATTTATCCAAATTTTCCTACATAGTTTTCTTTTTTTCTAAATGTATAAAATACAAACTTATGAGTTGGAATAAATACATGTCTATATATGGCATGCACCATTATTTTGAAAATTACTAAACTACTTAAGTGTTACCTCTGATTTGTGATCTCTGGCTCCATCGTAACTTGATCATAACTTGATCAAGGAGGCAGAATTATACTATGTACATACCAAAACAAGTTACTAGCTAACGTGTATATATCACCTTTGTGGTAACTTTCACATATACTAAAGCAAATTACATATATATCTTGTAGTCAACTTCCCATAATTAATGTATCATCTTGCACCCTTGCTTTTCATAGTGCTTCAAAAGAATTACCAACAATGGAAAGGCATGAAAAGACCATAATCTGGTAATGCAAAACAAACCAAACAAAATGGACTGTGCTAAAAAAGTATTTATTAAATTTGTGGTCAAAATGAGCACCAACACAAACTACTCATCTCTTTGCCAAATCTATCTTTACTTGCTTCATATATACCAGATGGGTATTGAAATCTATACCAACAATCCAACTCTTTGGATATAAAAGTAACAATATGATTCCTGTAGTTAATTATTGCTGAGTGATTATGAAGCCAGTCAATCCCAAGAAATATGGTTTCTCTATAATCTTCTAGACCAATAAAATTTCTTCTTTCTAAAAAGTTTAATTATAACATACCAATTCCATAACTTTCATTTGAACTTATGGAGTTAGTCTTTCTGCAAAATACTTGGAATCGTGAACTACTTTAACCCCGAGTTTCCCGATAAGTATTCCAGAACTTGCACAACCATTATCTATTTCAATTCTGATTTTCTGATCATTGATTCTCCCACAGCATGTATATGTTGATTTATTCTCTTGTATTTTCTAGACTTAGATAAGTTGCAATCACCCATGAGGCAATATGTAGTCCTCAAATGTTAAAGTATTTATTATGCCACTGCAGTCTAACTCTAAGTAGTGTTTATGTATCCAAAGTGAACCCAAAATTATATTATAATCAAGAATCATTAGTAATACAGTCAAAGTTCTCATAACTTCACTCATAAACTTTGAGTTACTGTTAATAGTAATATTAAACTCATCCACCAACTTCTCATCTTTCAAGCCTTTTGCTATCAAACCCTAAACTTACAAATTTTATGGATTTCACCAGCAGGGCTTTTGCTAGTCAACAACTTACACATGGTTCCACCATACGAGGAGAATAGCAATAAAGAACTTTCTCGAGTTTTCCAATTGTTGGTTGGCAGCACGCAGCATTCAAAGAACGTACCCTAATTTACCTTAAGAAACCACCAGTACATGCAATCTTTCTCTGGCATCGGAAAAATTAGTCCGTTACACTCGGGCACGAGCTCCAAAAATTTTCAAGCGCCTCCATGATGATCATTCCGGGATATGCCTCGATCGTGTTCCAACGTCGCTCAAAGCTCCTCGAGTCCACCAGCTTGCTCTGGCCACGATTCGTATACGTCGCGAATAGCCTCTCGGGTTTAAGTTTCTGCTTAGACGCTTCATGCTTGAGCCTCTGCTTCTGCAGAAAGTTGTCAAGTGCAACCCGGTCACGCTCCATAGCTTCTTTCACATTTCCCAGAACGAAGCGCCTCTCCTTCTCTCTTTACTTTTCGGTAGAGCTATCCTGTTCTCTATATTCTCCTGGCATTGAGAGCATACGCAGATATCCAGCAAGCTTCGAAGACGTCCTTCCGCGGCCTATAAAGAAGAAAGAAGAAATAAAACGATGGTCTAAACTCAAGAAAGAAGGAGCCTTCAACCAACCTTAGCAGAAGCTTCCATGTTCAAAGCATTCTCCTCCGAGTCGATGAGCGCCTCAATCTCATTGAGAAGCTTTAACTTCTCACGAGAGAACCCCACGAAGTCCCACAGCTCCAGCTGCCTCTTCTTGTTCATCAAATCCCCACCATGATCCTTCTTCGACCCGAGCGTGCTCTGGACCCTGGACCAAGCTGCCCTGTTCGACCAAGGATTCGATAGGAAGCCCTTCCCATTCACCGACATTGTCCGAAGAGCATTAGCCTGGAGCGCACGGAGAAAGTTTGGTACCGGGGGCAAGGGAGGAGGAGTGAGGAAGGGTGAGGAGGTAAAGGAGGAGGAGAAGGAGTAGCGACATTGATGTCCCTGGAGATCTTCTTGCGCTTGGTCGAGAAGGGCCACTGGAAAGCCTCTGCCCTGAAATGCCTCTTCTTGACGCCATTGAGAGCTTCCATGGCCGGATCATGCTCGCGCTACCACCGAGGCTGCCGGAGCTGCTGCCACTCGCAGTTAGTTGTTAAACCTGGAAATGTCCCGCCGCCATCTCAAGTCGAAGTATATTCGTTCATTTGAAATTTAAAACAAAACTGTTTGCCTCGTAAACTTCCGGAGATACAGAAAACTCGGCAGTTCGTCAATGTTTCTCGGCGAGATTGGACTTGATCTGGAATCATACAAGAGCTTGCTATGAATAGTTTGATCTAGGCGCAAACCTTAGTTAGCGGTGAAATTGCTCTGTCTCCATACCTCGAGATTTTTCTCGAACGAAGGTTCCAACGCGATTGTAGAAAAGCTTGCCCTGGGGTCAAGCTCGTACCTTGACACTGGACTCATTCTCGAGCTCCCATTCTCATCGTCGGTCGCACAGAGAGCTTAATCCGATGGAAGATAGGGGCGGCGGATTTGCGTCGGTCAGCCTCTTCGAGCATCGGATCGCCCCATTGTTGCGA